AGCGAGGACAGCTGGTCATTTTTGTATGTAATTTGAGGCTTCATGTTGTACACGACAGAATCACGTGTCTTATATCAGATCCGCATAAGGGGATAATCAGTGCACTGAAAAATAATGTCGATTTGTGGCTTGAACCATATTTTGGATACCACAGGTATTGTCTTCGACATGTTCGGAGCAACATGGTGGCGAAACACAAAAAACAAATTGTGCGAACCAATCTGGTGTGCTGGAAAATGGGCAAGAAGCGGCAAAATCACAAGTTTCTAAAATTTCAGCAACAACTGAGAGAGTGCAATGAAGCAGGTCTTGCTTATATGATGGCTATTCCGAGGGGGAGGTGGAGTCTTGCCTACGATCAAGATTATGCACGTTGGGGCATGTTGACAACAAATATATCTGAGAGTTACAACAATGTTCTGAAGGGTATTCGATTTTTACCAATTAGAGCTGTGGTGGAATCCACTTTGGCGAAGACAATTAAGTTCTTCCGTGATCAGTATGCAGATGCCTTGAAGTGTAATACTCCTATCGGAGATAAGTATTGGATGAAATTCTGTAAGTATGAGAATACATCAGCAACTCACAAAGTGGAGCTCTACGATTTCCAGAACCAAGTGTATGGGGTCATTACAAGTTGGCGTCGCATAGGGAAAGGTGGAAATGAACACAAAGTAGAATACAGGGATTGGCATTGTTCATGCATGAAGTGGCAGACTTACAGGCTTCCTTGTTCACACGCATTGGCTGTATGTCGGTGGATTGGTGATCACCCAGAAAATATAATACATGAATATTATAAGACGAGCACATGGCGTGAGCAGTTTCGTCATTCTAGGTTTGTTCCCGTCCCAAGAAGAGAAGAGTGGGTGTCTCCAGGGTGGAACCTTGTTCCTGATTATGTCAATCTAGTTCTGTATAATGCTGTAGGTCGTCAACAACAGCGGCGATTCTTGATGTCAACGGATTATATGGGCAGGGGTGGACGCAGAAGATGTAGGAGATGCGGCAGTCAAGATCATTTAACAAGGGAATGTCATCGTTTGCACCGCATAGTTGATCGGACTAGATTAGAAGTCAACTGGGACGCAGATGGTTTCGAAAATGTTGAAGAGGACTGAATCCCTCCGTTGTGTTGATTAATTTAGCATGTTTGGTTCTGTTTGGATGTATTATTGTTATCTTAGTAGGATGTTTGATTCTGTTTGTGTAATAGATGTATTTGGATGATCAATTTGGTTTTTATTTGGATGTATTATTGTTATCTTAGTAGGATGTTTGGTTCTGTTTGTGTGATAACTGTAATCTGTAATATGTGTTAAGTGTATTACTACAGGTATTTTGGAAAAAAATAAAGTAATAAAAACGGAATTTCAAAATCCATTTTTAAGCTAACACAAAAAACGGAATTTCAAAATCCGTCTTTAAGCTAACACAAAAACGGAATTTGCACATCCGTTTTTTATTCTGTATAAAATCCCACAAACCGGTCCTGTGGATCATTTTCTTCTCCATTACTAAGAAAAATGTCAAGCTGGAGCAGCAGCAACAACACCAACAACACCATTGATTTGCGTTACGAAGTATTTTTTTGCCCGTTATGCGGGTATAAGTGTAAATTTATGTTATCTAATACGCCCAAAAATCTAGGTCGTCTTTTCCACTATAGTCCTATTCATCATTTTCAGGGTTGGGCAGAACCAGTAGGAAACAATGCTGGGAATAGTTTCATTGACAACGGGCAAAGGAATGCGACTATTAATCACGGGTGTAGAAATTGTACCGGCAACAATTAACCAATTCTTTATTTTCTCAATTTAGCATGCTTAGGTTGTATTTTTCTTGTTCTAGTTATTTTATTTATTAGACGTTAGGGTTTGATTGTATGAATTTATGGTTTGCAAGAATTAAAAAGAAAATGTAGTTTTTAATTTTTTTTTAAATAATTAGACAAAACGGATAATTGAAATCCGTTTTAAAAACTCACTGTTTAGGTTTCATTTAGGTTCTGTTTTTAGGTTTTAAATAAAATAGTTGTATACCCTGATTCTTTAGGTTCTGTTTAAGTTTTGTTTAGGTTCCTTTTAGGTTCTAAACTAATTGTAAACCCTGATTTTTTTTTCTGGTCTTGTTTTTTTACTTATATAAGCTGGACTTTTTGCTTTTTTTTTTTTTTTTTTTCTGAAAGCTTTTGTTAACAAATATTGACTTTGATTCCTTTTGTATTATGTTCTGTTTGGCTTTTTTTTTTTTTTTAATTTATTATGTACTGTTTTGTATTTCAGTTTATTTGGTAACCTTATGAAGGAGTGGAGATACCTGAAAGATGTACACTGGGTCGGGATCGTTGGCGATCAAACACTTGGTTAATTTGCTGGGAGATCATTGAACCGCATCAAGTTGACCGTGTGATGCGACAATTTGGCTTGAAACAGTCGATCCCTCCACAACCAATGATTGCTGGTTTCCAAGTATGGGAAAAGTTGCACCGGCATGGTAGGACTGGAATGCCTGGGGCTAAATGGGAGCATCATCATCGTGAATACATCGCCAAATGGGACAAAAGGGCGGACACCATTGTGGCTGGATCTCTGATTAGTGGTCAATCCTCAACCGATGAAGATTATCTCCCGTGGTATGACACCAATACCATCAAATTTATCAAGGATCCCAATAAGTACAACTTTCAGGAGGAAGGGTGTCGTGAGCATTCAGATCGCGCAAAATTCTATGTAAGTATTCTTCTTTTAGGGTTTTGTGCAAGGTTTTTTTATTTTTGGTTTATATTATGAATTTTTTCATACTTTTTAGCCTTCTGGTTCTGTTTTTTAGTTTATATTCTGTTTTTTAGTTTATATTCTGAATTTTCATACTTTTTAACCTTTTGGTTCTGTTTTTTAGTTTATATTCTGTTTTTTATTTTATATTCTGAATTTTCATGCTTGCATTAGGATTTGTGGTTTTTTGAACTGCATTCTGGTTACTAAATGCAGCATGCTAGTTGCTTCCTTAGTTTCATGCATTCTGTTTTTTTGTTTTTTAATGGTTAAATTGATTTTAGGCTAATGTTTTGAGCGACGTCTGCACAAAGGTAGAAGACTACCAGAAATCAAAAGAGAGGTGCCAAAATTCAGTTTGTATGGATCTCCTTCTTGAACTCGCTGCTCATGCTATGAGTGCTTTATCCCTTGGAGCACATGAGTTGCCAATTTTGAAACCAACCCAATCGCTTGTTGATATTCCACCACAACCTTCTCAACCGGTTGGCAAAGTTCGCAAGCGAAACATTCCTCACTGTGGGATTGGAGGCGGTAGGAAGAAAATCGTGGAAGAAGAAGAAGAAGAAGAAGATTATGATCTTGAACTCAATGCCGATTTGTTTCAAACTCCAACCCCCCAAAATGAAGTCGAAGCCAACCAAGGAGGTGAACCTACAAGTATGGATGTGGATGTTACACCGCCATTGAAGCAACCTACTCTACCTTTGGCTTTAGGAAGGGCGCGTAGAAAGATAAAGAAAGTCGACCGCTACACGCCATCCACGGCCAAGCCAAGCCACCCCTAGAGGAGGAATAATTCCTTCATTTTGATGTTTACCTCTATTGATGAATATTGGAACTTTTGTTGATGTAGTTTTTTATTAAAATTTGTTACAATTACAATATTTTGTTTAATTGATGTGTGAGTTTAGGGTTTATGTTGATGCTGCTGTCTTGGTGTTGTTTGCCTTCTGGTTTATATTCTGTTTCTGTCTTTTTAACAGGATTGGTAAAGCAGGGCAATTCTGTTTTTTTTTTATGTCTACTATCTTAAAAACGGAAGTCAAACATCCGTTTTTAATTTTCTATTAATTTTAACTAAAAACGGATTTTGAGTTTCCGTTTTTGATTTCCAAAAAATATTTACTTCACAAATTCTGTTTCCGGCACATATTTTCTCTGACCACTCCCAAATTTGTACTTATTTTAGTCCACTACTCCCAAATTTGTACTTATTTTAGTCCACTATTTCTTTCCTGGACATATTTATGTAAATGACACCAATATACACAACCATTTGAATACGTTGTTGGTCTAACTGATTAGAGGTTAAACAAGTATTTTTATATTTATCAATGATTAGACCTTAATTCTTGTGCTCACATGTGTTCTGAAAAAAAAACTAGTACTTTGCAATGGTAGTAACTGAACGGGGACGATTATGTCTGCAATTACAATCTGAATCATTAGCAATTTAGCATTGAGCCCCTTTTGTTAGGGCTCTCGGTGTGGAGTCTTGAGTTGCAGTTGATTAAATTGGGTACCTTGGCTCTCATCAGTGGAGTCGATGTGTAGTGTTTCGGGTGTTTGTCAAAGATTACTCTTGATTATTGGTGATTGAAATTGTATTTAATAACCTGGGTTTGGTTTGAAGTTTGTCTCCATATTCAGGACCAGTCATTTGGTACTCCAGAAGCTCAAGATGACCATCATCTGTTGAATGCATCTCATCCTACGTACCGAAGAATGTTGAGAATACATTTCATGAAATCGTAAATATGCCGTATCTTGTTGCTTTGTACGAAGGTACTCGACACAGACTTCTTCACAATGATTACTTTTGTCAGCTATATATATCTAAAATTAGAATAACGAAATTGTATTTCCATTCATTGTATTGTGTACAATATATAGGGTACATATAGACAATTAGTAAACCCTATACACAACGATATAACCGTAAAAGCATATATTACAATATCTAACAACTATATTGCAAATTTAGCAATAAGCAGTGAAGTTATGAAGAAGTCAACCACCGAAAAAATTTCATTATGTTCTTAGCTAATTAAACAAGTAAGAATCTCGTAGAGTTTTGCCGTCTCAAAGGACCAGCTCCTCTTGAGCTCAAATAGAGTGAAAACTACTAATCGGTGATTCTGAAAGAACAACATAACGAAAATCGAAGAAATATATAATTAATACGGCAACGATTGGTGCCGAACAAATAGGACCGGATCATCAGGAGCTAGCTGCTGGGAGGAGAACTAACAGATCCAAGGTTGATTGCGCTGATGATTTCAAAGCATCCAAACGAAAGCGTAAATCTTCATCGCATGCAATCAGAATCCAGTAACCTTGGTACTTGTACTTGATTCTGAACTTCTCAGAATTCAGTTCTACAAACCTTTGCTTCAATTTATTGCGCAATTCTTCGACTCCTGGATTACTGCTCAAAGGAAACATAACACTATCATCTCCATATTTTGCCTTGACGAGGATTGTTGTACTGCTGCTACTCGCGTGATCCATCTCGTCATCATCGTCGATGATAATCAGACGGTCATTGTCTGGACGTTTCCGCTTCAGAATAGATCGATTGTCTGCAAAAATGTGAAGTAAAAAAGTACTTGTAAAACATAACACAAGGGGGAAAAAAATGGCCTTAAACTCTTGCATCTATAAGATGATATTATCTTGCTCATACAATGTTTGATTACCTGTCTGATTGGGTCTTTCAGTATCATTCAGATCAACAGCATCTTCAGTATTCGATCGCATAGCAACTGCAACAAAAATCAAAAGTTAATTCCCCATATACACCGGCTTAATCCGTCATCCTGTTGATATAATTCGAACATACTTGCAGTAATTGTTTGAGCTACTGTCTCATTAGATTCTTCACGATCATTGAGATCATCACCTCCCATAGGCAATGGCATAATCACTGCAAAATAATGAAATGTTATTGATTCAGAAACTGCAAAAGTTAATTCCCATATACACCTACTTAATCCATCATCCTGTTGATATAAATTCGAACATACTATTTGTTTGAGTCACTGTCTCGTCAGATTGTTCACGATCATCACCTTCTGTAGGCGGCTCCGGTGGCATAATCACTGCAAAATAATAAAAGTTGTAAGATTCAGAAACTTGCTAAATTCTTCTTCCAACAGGAGACAGAGAGATGTCAATTACCTCCTTCATCAACAGATTCTTCATCGTCGTTAAGATCAGAGCAAAACGACCAACGGTTATTCCAATTTTCGATGTAGGAACCGTAGTACACCGTCCAATCCCTTAGGTTGGTCCCGCTCAAGGTCTTCTGCTCTGGACCCCGGGGTTTGTTTATGCCTTGAACAATTGCTCGGCATAATTGCAACTCAGAATTGGTACAATCATGGTACCATATCCTTTCGTTGCAAATGAGGTACACCTGAGCAGTACATAATTTAAGTTGCCTCTTGAAATCATCAGATATATCGCGGACCCTTTCGTAAGGCATCCACTTTACCTGCACCATCAATTTGAAATGACATTAAGAAACAAAACAAAAACTGACGGTATAATGATAAGAGTTATAAACTGAAAAAGATAACAGAGATTTTACTACATAAATTCAAACCTCAAACGATCTCTTATCCAGGATAGATTTTAAATCAAACTTTTTCAGCGGGTTTCTGCTACCTTGGAGAGCTTTCGACCATCCTTTGGCCAGGGGTATGCTGGTTGGTACATAATCACTTTCGAAAAACCTTTGTGCCAATTCTGGCAGCCTTTCTAATGCAAACATCTGCAAGGGACAAAAAAGTTAGAATGTACTATTTCCAAAGTCTGAAAGGCTGAATCAAACAAAGAAAGCGTTTGAAATAATTTTGGAAAAGATGACCTGAATGATGTAGCAGCAACTCGTTAAATTCTTGCCTTCACCCCTGAGGGAGGTATGTTTCATTATTTTCATTGCAGAATGCAGGTGAACCAACAAAGCTGCACCCCAAGCATACTCATCCACCAGATTTAGATCCTTCAACAAGCTGATAAAAATTGCGCAAACCTGGTACCTAGCGGCAGGAAAAAGCACACATCCTAATAGATAGAGCATGTAGGCTCTGGCGCACTTTTTTATCTCGTCAGTAGGGATTTCTTCACTTGATAAATCTTTTTCAAAGTTGTCTTTCAACCAAAGACAGTTTACTACAACCTTTCCAATCTGATCATCTCCCTCGTTTCTCATGCCATCCGGGGATTTACCTAGGAGATCATTATACAAATCTAGGAGATTTGTCGACGACCCAATGACCGGGTTTCCATCGATTGGGAGTCCTGTCAGATACATTATGTCTTCTAAACCCATGTAAAGGCGATGCCTTCCTATGTGGAAACAGCTATCGTCAACATTGTACCGATCAACAAACATTGAAACCAGCTCCTTGTCGATTTTATGGCTTGACAAACTGCTGGCTAGTTTAAAGAGACTACTATGCTTGACCATTTCTTCGACCTTTGGATCTATTTTCCATTGGTGAAATGATACTAGGTGTTCAGAAGGTTCGGACTAAACATAAACAAAAAAAAAATCATATCAGTAACAAATTCAGAGGTGTTACAGTTCTGATGGAAAAGAACAGAGAAAAAAGAAACAGGAAAAAAGGAAGAATATTGGAAAAGAGTTACTTACGATATTGATAGTGGACATGGCTGAATATGAAATCACGAAATTGATAAATCAAGCTTCCTAAAAACCATGACAGAGTAGATGTTTATTATTCGAACGATTTAAAAAGGGTAATTCTAAAACAAAGCTTCAAAATTCTGTGTTGATTAGCAGCAACAGAAAAGTGAGATTTGAACATTGTTTTTGGGTGCATATCAAACGACAACATCCGGCCAGGTAGCAATTAACGAGATGGTTTTCTAATACTGTAAGGTGAAGGATAAAAACAATGAACATCAAATTTACACTATAAATGGAAAGCAAATAATAATAATAAAAAAAAAATTGTAAACTTGAATCAAAATTCTTTTATAATTAAATTTCTAGTTCCAGGTGCTTCAAAAAAATAAATCGAGTAGGAAATCACACCAAGAGCAGGGATAAAAAGTAAAAAATCGATCTTCCAACACACTACACGTAAACGAAAATATTAAACAGATGTAGCTATTAAAGAAGAAAAATGCCCTACGAGTAGCTCAAGAAATGAAGATAACTTCAATGAAAAGATGGAGAAAGTTGAGGGGACTGTGGGACTGAGGGAATTTGGTAAGACAAAGCTTCAAAATTATGTGTTGATTAGCAACAGAAAAGTGATATTTTAACATTGTTTTTGGATGCATATCAAACAACAAAATCCGGCCAGGTAACAACTAACGAGATGGTTTTCAAATACTGTATTGAAAAGGAAAAAAAAGGTGAAGGATAAAAAGAACGAACATCAAATTTACACTACAAATTGAAAGCAAATAAAAAACGGATTGTAAACTTGAAACGACAGTCACTGATTTTTTTTTTATTATTAAATTTCGAGTTCCATGTGCTTCAAAAGAATAAATCGAATAGAATCACACCAAGAGCAGGGGAAAAAAAATCGATCTTCCAACACACTACACATAAACGGTTAATAAACAAAAGAAAGAGAAAAAAAGATCAGATAGATCTAGCTATTAAAGAAGAAAAATACCCTACGAATTTGGTAAGATGGAGAAAGTTGATGGGGACTATGGGACTGTGGGAATTTGGTAAGAGAAGATGAAAAGATGGAGGAGTATATGAAGGGCTACCCTGATGGTTTTTTGAAGAGGGAAACCTGCGTTTGAATGGTGACCAGTCTAATTTACGGTATAATGGAATCCCCATGTAGACAACCATTTGTTTTAGTCCCAACAAAAAAATTAATGAGTTGGGTGGCAAGTAATTGGTTTAAGGAAAAAATTTCATTAAGGGCATTTGAAAAGATTAAAATTATTATCAAGGGCATGAGATTTATTTATCAATTATTAATTAATTTTGATTGCTTCCTCTCTTTTAAATGACTTCTTTATCTCCTTCCATTGTTCTTTTTATTCTATGGACATGTCCTTTTCGAATTCTCAGCATTCAGTTGGAACCTTTCGATCAATTCATTTTGCCTGCCGCTATTTTGACCGGCCGGTACTACATAATAATTCATTGTTGTCTTTGTAATTAGGACTGTACTTAGTTTGTCAAAAGTATGAATTGCCAGGAGCTATTTTGTTGAGCAGCTCCTCGAAATATCAACATCATTTACTACGTAATTTGATTTTATCTTCAAAAACATAAATGATAAAATGAATTTACCTCCTGAATTTGATCTATTTTTAGATTAGTCCTAACCCACAAAAGCAGAAAGACGAGAAAAACCAATATGTATCTCAATAATTGAAAAACCTTATCTACCAAAAAAAAAAAAAAATCTTGTGGACATCCAACCTTAATTTTCTGATCCAAAAGGCAGCCAAGAATGTCTTGTCCACGATAAAACCGCCCGTGCTTGGAAGTTCGGCAAATAATAACAAGCACTAGGTACACTTTATAATGTGTACTTAGGAGGTGTGTGTATTATAAAATTGGCGAAAGAGAGTAGAGTTGGTAGTCTATATCACACGCGCATTAAAACTGCATTAAAACCCCCAGATTTTATTCCCTCTTTTTTGGCACACGTTTTAAACCTTCAGATCTTATCCTATTAGTTTTTTTTTTATTTTATTTTATGAGAAAATTTTTTTATAACGATGAATTTTATTTTAGTAAAATTAAATGTGGTTCATCATCGAGACTTATGAATCTGGAGAATCAATTACAGCAAAATATTTTAACTGATTAATAACGAAATCTGGAGAATTAAGGGTCAAATTTGAAAGATTTTAATGAATAATGATATTTGTTTCGATGAATAAAGATATATTTATCGATGAATAATGATAATATTATTGATGAATAATGGTGTTTTTATAGTGATAAAGTTATGGATAAATAAATTTAAATTTTGAAATGGATAACGATATTTATAAAGATAAATACGAAATAAATTTTGATGAATAATGATCCCATCCTAGATGAATGACAACACTAGAGTGAAGAATAGATATAGCTTTGTTAAATGAATAATTGTAACTTAATGAATGAATAAAATATCTTTAGTAGATGAATAGTACACAACAGAATGAATAAATTTGATTAAAAAAACTAACGAGAATATATTTTACAATGAACTAATGTCAGCAACTAAGCTAACAAACTTTTAATTATGCATTATACTAGACAAAAAATAACAAAAAAATTAGTCATTGTTTTTAACATATAAGCTCTTGAATGATTCGCCGATACTCGATACTTTTATATTGATTGTTTGATTTCAGCAACTTTACCAAAATATTTGATTACCGACCGATCAAGTTCATCTTGATGAGCATTTCAGGGTAATGGGATTTTTTCAGTTCCAGTGGTTCTACTTGCTTCAATCTTCAATTGTTTCCTTCTATCCTTATTGCATTTTGTCAAGAAAGGACAACATTAATAAACAAATGAATAACACATTCATATGTAATGAATAACTAAAATTCACTTGACGAATAACCATATATATGTGATGGATACCGACTGATGAACAATAATACCGATACTAATGAACAAGCATATGAATATTCAGCCCTTACATATGCAAGACTATTGCAGTAACGATGAATAACAAAAGCTAAAAAAATGAATAAGTACAATACAATGATGAATATATAGAATTTTTTTTTTTATAAAACTCACGATTTCGCTCGTAATTACATATAGAATAATGAGTAATCAAGACAACAAATAATGCACAAATATGGCCTAACGATTTCAATAACAAAGAATAGTGGATGAACTGTTACACTGTAGTTGATGAATAACAACTAAAATAATGAATAACAATCGCGTAACGCAATTATTATGATGAATAACCCTTTAATATCGATGAATAATGGCTGGGTAACTGATGACTAGTGAAACGATAGAAAATCCTTCAAACTCTACAACTAATGGATGAACAAATCTAATAAGTTAGTGCACAACCATCTATAAACGAATGCAGGAACCTTAGATCTACGTATTTCAAGGATGAATATTGAATACGAATTAATAAATAACGCCCAGATCTATTAGTATCTTCCACAAACACAACAAATATAATGAAGAAATCTTAAAAATTGATGAACAAAGATCTATAATCGAATGCATATACCCTAAATCAACAAAACCCATTCAAAAAATGCATGAATTGTTGAATAGATTAATAATATTACCTTCCTTCATCTTCATTTTCCGAAATGCTTCTACTTGAACCAGGATCCTCAATCGTCGCTATCTACATGGATGATTCGGGATTAAAAAACTATTCTTATAATTAGATCCATGGAATAAACAGATATACGGATTCTCTACAAGAAAGATTTTGAGAATTTCAAACAAGATTTATCAGACAAAACACAAAACAGATGAATAATCTCAAATATTACCATAATTCTCATATTCAACACCATATATTGCAATCAAACTCACAGGATTTGATGCACAATTGGATTCCGTCTTAAAAAATACTACCGACAAGAGGTTTTGATGCCGAATCGCCACAGAGAATATTTGGTATTTTGGATTATTTTTTATTTGAGACACCTTTGGATTGGAATAGGAAGTTGGATATGAATAATGATGACTGAAAATTAGGAGGAATATCCGGAAATTAAAGATTTGAAAAATCTCCCTTTTTTTTCTCCCCCTTTTTAGGCGTGTGAATTTTAAACTAGGTACACCTTACAAAGTGTACCTAGGAGCTCTATATTATAATTGTGGAAATTCTTTCCACGAATTACTCCCTTCCGTCCTCTTTATTATAAGGTAATTTTGATTTATCTTATATTTCATTTAGTATCTTCATTTCATTGAAAATAAATTTTTAAAAATGTATTTTCAAATTTATTGTGCTCCCAATTGTGATAAAATATTTTTAAAATTTCATTTCTAATTGAAAGAACATACTAAATGAAATTTAGAACAAATCAAAATACTTATTTAGAATAAATTAAAATGCCTTACATGGAAGGAGTACATTATTCTATACAAGGACTTTGGTACCCAGTCGTATCACTCGAAGCATGATATTGACATTTACAATATTGGTAGCTAGAACTACGTTGATATTACCTTTATTATATGTTCAAAATTTAATGCACGATACAATTGCACGGTTAACACAAATAAACTGTAACAGCAAATTAATAAACATACTTCTTTGCCATAAGGCGAAGAGGATTTCTCTTGTGCATAGTGATCCCTGGCAGTGTATCAGTATCGATATCTTCTCTTTTCATTCCAAAAGGAAGTTCCCAATCAAAAGAGTGAAGAAGATGGGCAAGTAAAAGTTTCGCAGTTGATAACGCCAAAGCAATTCCAGGACAACCTCTTCTTCCTCCTCCAAATGGAATTAATTGAAAATCATTTCCTCTTACGTCAATGCTATTATCTAGAAATCTCTCAGGAGAAAATTCTTCTGGATTTTTCCAATTTTCAGGATCTCTGGCGATAGCCCACGCATTTATAAAGACCAAAGTTTTACTTTCGATATCATATCCTTCTATGGTACAATTTTGTGTAGTTTCTCTTGGAACGAGAAGTGGCGCAGGAGGAAACAATCTGAATGTTTCTTTTATGATTGCATCCAAATAAGGAAGGTCTTCAAGTACTTCTCCCATTGTTCCCTTCTTTTTAATCAAATCTCGAATTTCACTTTGTGCCCTCTTCATAATAGAAGGAGTCTTCATCAGGGCTGTCATAGCCCATGTAATTAGAGCTGAGTTTGTATCTGTGCCAGCCACAAATATGTCCTGAATTTATAGATAAAAGTATCAAGCTTAAAAATCTGAAATTGAAAACAAAAACAGTGTAACTCACTACTAGTGATGATACTTTTAGACACTGTTGAAACATAAATTGAAAAATCTTTTCATATGTGGCTAAAAAAATGACCGTCTTACGTCTGTAGTTTGGATGATAACTTCTCGTGGGCCCAGATAACATTTTATTTCACAAAATTGTGTGCTTTTTTTTTTTTTTTTTGAATTCTTCATAAATAATTGAACAACTTTAGGAAACTTACCATGAGCATCGCTTTGACGTGATCCCAAGTAAAATCAGGAGAGGATGATTGTTCTTGCTTGATCTGAATCAAGAGATCAAGAATGTCATCTTTCATTGCATCTGGCCTGTTTGGATTCAAGTGCTCATCAATAACTTCTTGATAGAACAAATCCAAGTCTCTAGCATTCTTCTCAAGACGATCAAACATTCCCGAAAGCTTATCCATCCAGCTTAACCAAGGAAGATAATCAGAAACAAAAAACCCGGCGAACAAGGCTTGGCATTCATGCAAAATCTCTTCAAATCTTCTCTTCTGAACGTTATCTTCTTTGCCATACTTCTTTCCAAATGCGATGCGACAGACTACTGAGCTCGTGAAATTCGTAACCATCGAACTCAAGTTGATAACTTGAGACGAACAACATAAATCCGAAATTTCATTGATCAAAATGGAAACTTCATCTTCAATAATGGGATGAAAGGATTGAACCCTTTTCGCGCTCAGAAGATGAAGGACCGTAAGCTTTCGCATTTTCCGCCAATACTCTCCGTAGGGAGAGAAAGCCACTTCCAATCCATTGTAAGAATACTTCTGGTGGCTAACAAGCCGTGGGCGGTTGGAAAACACCAGATCGTGGGTTGTTAGGGCTTCTTTTGCGATTTTCGCCGACGAAATAACGACTACTTTCCGGGAACCAAGCCGCAATGACATGAGAGGACCGTACTTTTGGGAAAGGTTTTTCAAGAACAAATGAGGCTTTAAGCTATCAAATTGATGCAAATTTCCAATGAAAGGCAGTCCTGGAGGGCCTGGAGGCCTATGAATCATTCTTGTTTTGTGCTTTTTCTGTAGATGAAGAAAGAAAAGAAATGGAAGAATTGTCATTAAGAAGAAGAAAAGAGACCATGCAGCTGCCATTTTGATTTGATCAGTTTTAAGCTATAGCCAAGTGTTGATAAATGTTGATAAATATATAGAATGACAAATTCAAAAGGAATCACACGATTCTACAATAATTTTTTTTCAAACAGTAATTCTTTTCTAGCCACAAGAAAATGTATGTTAGTGCGGAAAATAGATGTCAATTTCAAGACCAATAGGGCTTTTTCCATGACAAATTCCCAGATAGACTTTCATTTTTATACGAAATCATGTTAGTTAAAATTCCATTAATCTATGGTTCAAACTTCGAACTTTATTTTAATATATCGTTGTAAAAGCTCGTCAGAACATTCATAGACTCATTAGCCTAATCATATTTTGTGAATTAAGTTGAACGAAATAATAAGACATGCAAGGAAGGATACTGTGACTATTGATTTAGGATGTAAGAGAATGAAAAATTATGTCCACGACGAAATTCCGTTCTTCATTTTTTGTCAATTTTACAATCTCTCTAACCACTAGATTGTCATTCAATTTTCAAACTTTTTAATGCATAGTATTTATACTATGTATGGATTAATTCGATTCAAAAAATAATGATAGTGCTAGGCTCATTGGTCGGTTTGGTGACAATAACATTCCCGTGAGTGTATTATTTTCTTTGAAAGTACTTTCATGGACTGATGCAATCATGCAAATCTATGTGATGTAAATCTATTTACAAAGAGACAATTCGCTTAGAATTATTGCAACGGTTATTAGTCTGAACAACAATATTTGGAAATTTTGACTAAAACGTGGCTAACATCTATGCATGACTCCCAGTTAATAATGCTAGATTTTATTTTGTATATTATTTTGTGGGGTTACATTTGTAATACACAGTTCTAGCTATTAATTTATTTTATATAAAAAAAATGGAAATAAGGTTTGGACGCTGGAACTTGGAACCCAAATAAGAAAAAAAAGGAAAACTTGTCCAATTTGTTTCGTATGGTAAGTTCCGCAAGTATCGCGAGACCAAAGAAAAAAATGCAAAATTTTTTGTCATGCCCGATACCAACAACTTATTCGTATTCGTATTGAAATTTAGTATTTTGTTACTTACGATATTAACAGCACTGTACACACACTAGCTATCATAAGATGTGTTTAAACAATTTGATTTATATTCGCAAGCTCATGGAGACATGGATTGTTCATGTGTTATCCTTTGGTCCTTATTATAGGAAATTTTGATTTGTTCTAATTTTTATTTAGTATTTTTTGATTAAAAAAAACTTTAAAACTATATTTCACATTCATTGTGTTCTCCTAATTATTAGAAAATATTTTTAAATTTTATTTACCTAAAAAATTATAATAGGTGAAAACTTAAGGTAAATCAAAATGTCTTATAATAAGGAACAGAGGAAATACTACCATTCACATAATAGATTTTGTGGGGGATAATTTGTCTATTGTTGTCGTCTCATTCATGAAATAAAAATATTTCGACAAAATGTTAAAATAGTACCAGTAAGTGGAAACAAAAATAAAACGAAATAAAACGCGATGAAAATGAACCAGTAGGTGATAAACGAAAACTGGCAATGCATGCGCTAGATGCCAAATTTTGAAATTTAAGATGGGAAATCGATAAATGTTGAAATAAATTGACAGGTTCTTTATTATCTGAGCGGGAAAAATCACAGAATGTTGAATCTGACATTTCATTTAGTCATAACCAATGTGGTTTGATGTCGAAATGGAGGATTTGCATGTTGTAGACTCGATGCAAGTAATCAATTCCTTGAGGAACGCTCATACACTTTCTTCTAACCTAATTACTGATTTATCCGAGACGATCAACCAGACTAGAGACCTGAAGATCACTTTTTAGTAAAGAAAACTCTGTTTTCTGAAACCAGGATCTTTATCAAGAACCATATATGCATGACATTGATGGCTATATATGGTTAGATTGACAGTTACAAAGTGTTTAACTTACTGATAAAACTAACAGATTTGAAGAAATATACACAGCAAGATAATGATTGATGCTGTCCACTAGCTTGATTATGTTTGTACAGAAATGTATATAGTATTCTGATCATAGGGGTTTGTTTGTAAATAGTTAAATTCTTAGTCTATTGTGTAAATAGTTAGGGATATATCTGTCATTAGTATAGCAATTAGAGGCGGTTAATCATTTGTATTTATAGTGTCTGATTTTGGACACATTGACGAAGTTTTTACAGAATTAATACACAAAATCTTTTCCTCAAATTCTACTCTCTAATTGCAGTTATCAAAACCCTAACCACCATTTCTTGTTTCACTTGATGGTATCAGAGCAGGACTATCCTGCCTGATCATCACGTTCCGCTGCTCAAGTTTTTTGATTCCGATCATTTTCATACTAGAATTTCTTTGCTTACTTTCTGATTCTCAGAAACCATGGCGACTCGCCGAACAGATGATGCAGAGCGCAAACAGAGGAATGTTCATCGTAATGAAGAAGACGAAGAACGAACTCGAAGAGAGGAAGACTTCTCATAGTTCAGTGTCTACTCACATCCACTATCCTTACATGCTTATGATCAGTCCACCATGTCAATCGTGGGGATGAAGCTGATGGAGAGTAACTACATTGCTTGGAGTCACGCGATGAGAATGAATCTAGGTACGAAAAACAAGCTTTGTTTCATAAACGGTGATTATCCAAAGCCTCTAGAAACTTGTGCTGAATATCCTTAGTGGATAAGAGTAAATAACACCATGGTATCTTGGATTGTGAATTCTCTTTCTGATGAATTGCATGATGGATATATTTTAGCAGCAGATGCATATGATTTGTTGCTCGGTTTGAAACAAAGGTTTCGTGGCGTTAATGCCTCTCAGATTTATCAGATTAAGAGAGAAATTAGCTCTATCAGATAAGGAAATTTACCTTTGGCTTCCTATTTCACCAAGCTGAAAGATTGTGGGACGAATTAACACATCTTGATCCAATAGATGTCATTTCTTGCACAAGATGCAATTATGGTATTGTTGGTAAAGTAGCACAGAAAGTTGAAAAAGATAAGATGATGTGGTTCTTGATGGGCTTGAATGGCATTTATGAAGGTGTTAAGAATTAGATTTTAGCAATGAGACCTTTGCCTGATGTGAGAATTGCTTATGGAATGGTTATAGAAATTGAGAGACAGAGAAACGTTCAGATGATGTATAGCAGTCGGGCTGATCAGAGTGCCATGATGGCTAGGAGTACTGCAATGCAAGTTCCTACTCCTATGAACCACTCTGTCACAATGCAACCTTCCTCAATAATGCAGCCACAACCTTTGATGATTAATCAGACTGCTGGAACTGGTCAAAATGCAGCTATGTTTGCACAAAAGCAAGGATTTCATAAAAAGGAGGATAAGAGAAACCTGTGGTGTGATCACTGCAAGAAATCCAATCACACCAAAGAGACTTTTTTTCATTTGCATGGTTATTTAGATTGGTGGAGAGTGCCTGATAGAAAAAAAAAAAAGGAAGAAAGCAACCAAATGGAGGCAAACACATAGCTAACACGGCAGATTTGCCAATGAATACACTGATGATGAATAATATCGTGGGATACAATGTTGCAGCTACTAGTTCTTCCAATCAAATGACAGGTCCTAAGAATATGCATGCAATCATCCAGAGTCTCAACAGCTTGCATAAGGAAATGAGTAGACTGTCAAAAGGGAAAACAACTCAAGCTGA